TATATAATATTATAATAGATAAGTCTAATAAATATCTAATAAATATCTAATAAATATCTATTTTTTAATAACTAATAAATAATTAATAAATAATTAATAAATAATTAATAAATAATTATTATATTATAAAGTAATAATTTTTCTTTTATTCAAAATAGAGCTAGTATTATATTTAAATAATAATTTAATTATTATCTATTATTAATAATAGTTATTAAGTTAAAAATAATTAATAACTATATAATAATTTAATACTAGTTTTAAAACTAATCATAACTGTTTTAAAACCTCAAAAAACCTTCACTAACCGTCGTTACTAAATGGCCTGGGCCACTACGTATCATGCGCCTCCATTTTTGAAATTAATACTCACCGGATCCTCGCCCAAGAGACCAGCAAGATGCAATTTGGTCTGGGAATCGTAGGTAGGACGTAACCCATTCCAGAAATCTGGCAGGTTGAGACATGCTGAGATATTTGCTCGTAAAGTTGGCTGAGGGATGATATCACTTCTGTCTTTATACCGACACGCATAAGGATCGACCTTGATTTAATGGTCTATTTTTGTCGGAAAGCAATGACTGCATTACAGGTCAATTCCAGTACAAAAGTACAAGTCCTCTTCAGAAATCAAATGTGATAATAAATTCGTTAATACACTTCAGGAAAAATGCTCCACTGGTATTGTCATCCAGCTAGTTAGCCATATTTAGTTAGATCTACTCATTGTGCACTATTTATGCCCCTTATTTCCGAGGCTAATCCGTCGCCCCCAATGCATATACATATTTGATCCCATTCGCTCTACCGCATACTATTCCATACTGTTTTAGCTTGCTTCAACACCGTGCAAGCTCTCGAGAATTCCAGTCAATCTGTGTAACCCTGCATGTTCTCTATCTTAAATCGTCCAAGAACTCGAATTTTTAGAAGCGCACTTGCTTCCAGTTAAAGTGTTGATAGCCATAAGCGTTGACGATCGACATCCATTGCCCACTGTGATTACTCGCGCTGAATCAGCTGGCACACACTGTTTACTATCTTGATTGGAATGTTTTGAATAAGTGTATCATTTTCTCCTTAATCAGGGGCTAGACAGTATATGCCAGTGTTGCCACGTTTTTGATTGCTATTGCTGGGTCTTTGCACCGCATAAAGTACTCCTGCAATTTTGCTGGTGATAAGGCCAAATAGGACACAGCCCCCGAAAATTCGACCGCCAGTTGGTCAAGAGTCATGTCCGAAGAATTCTTGGAGGTGCATTTGTCAAAAAAGAAAGAGAAGTAGGCTGCTATGGTCGCTGGATCGGGGTTGCCGAACTCGAATTGCCGGTCTATTCGTCCAGGTCGAGTTAAAGCTGCGTCAAGTTTTGCCTTTGCATTCGTAGTGACAATGAGAATATGGCTAGCGTGACTCCCAATACCATCTAAAGTAGCGAGGACAGTCGTCAGTGTTATCCCTTTCTGACTGCCATCGTCTTCCTCGTTCGCAGTATGATCACGTCTCTCGATTCCGGCAGCGTCTATATCTTCCAATATAACCATAGAGCGAGCTGGATATGCCGGTAGCGTGCGAAACAATTCCTGTAAGCCGTAATCATCAACAGCCGGGAGATTGATGACGTACATCAGAAGACCAAAGTGCGTGGCAACTGCTTTACAGCAGCTGGTTTTACCGGTCCCTGGCTCGCCAAAATAGAGGTAGCCTCGCCAATAAGCGATGCCGAGTTTCTAGTGCAATTCGGCTACATCCTTGCTGAGAAAATTTTGAACATCTTCAATGATATCCTTCTTTATAGCCTTATCCTGGGCTAGGCTATCTAGACTGCGAGGAAGCTCATCACACATCTGTCGCCAGCCTACTTCCTACTTATTTTAATATCCACAGAACACTTTGAGTCTGCCGCGGTGGCAGTCAGCATTAAATTTTTGGATGGCCTCCAAAAGATTTTCAAAAACCCCCCTATTCCAGGGCATATAATAGATAATAATGTTCTCGGCGTGTCTCGAGAAGGGGTCCAAAACGTTTTGGTGAGGTTCACGGTACAAGGCAAACCAGCAATTCTGAAACTGGAACTAATGAAAGCAGTTCTGTCCTAGGGTAATGCGGACCCTTTCTATCTTCCCTCAATATGCTGGGTCCTTCGTCTCCACATATTCTGGAGAATAGTGACTAGAATCCTAGAGATATCCAAATGATTCCGTAAGTCCGGCGATGGAAGAGCTAGACCAGCTGTGAAATTCTATACTAGACATCCATCTTGTCACTTGAGGATATAGATTGTTTTGGTATTTGATTTCCGCGGACGACATAAAGACCGAAACGATGGGTTTAAAAGCCTTTGAAAGCGATGGCAAAATGAATGCAAAAATTATCGGAAGAGTAATCAGTGGTAGAACGTAAGACAATACGTTAATGCCCAGAGCCGCTGATATCAGCCGAATATGCCATGAAAGCCCTGGGGTAAAAGTATCCAGGAGAGAATGAAGTGCAGCATCAGGTTGGTCAGACATTTGGAGAGCGAATCCGGAAAGCAGTGAAGTTCGTCCTTTGGGTTGCAGAGAATACTGAGAATAAGCTGGTAGCTCCTGTGAAATGTTGTTCTTTTTATATTAGGCCGTAGGGGTGGGGTCCTCCGACCAGGCATGGAGCGGTAACTTCCCTACAGACAGGGATACGCTGAATGATCCACCTTAGTACATTTGACGTTACATCTGAGTTCGCTCTCATCTATCCATACAGGACAGTCAATTAGAGTGCTACACCGCTCTTCCTCTATCCGGCAGGGACGGTAATTGGGCCGGTCCAGAAACTATAGTGCGATGGGTTGATCTAGTGATAGTGCTTAGACGATATGTCATATATTTAAAAGGATAATTTGCAAATCCTTAGTTCCCCTGGCCTCGTGGTTGAATCCTTACAGATATTCGACACTAAGACCGTATTACAACTTGCAAATAAGGCAAGGTATTCCCGAAAAGAATCCTACTTCTCACTGGCGGTAATCCTGAACTAGGCCAGTTGTAGGTCGGCAAGATACAAGTTAAAACAAAGCATTAAATTAGCAAAGACTACATGCTGTCATTGTTGAAATGACATGATGCTGGTAGGTGTTCTGTAGCAATTACACCAGCTGATCATGAACGCAGGTCCATATCCCCCAAAGCCTGTAAAAGGCCATCTAATTTAGCTTCCTCAGCCTTGATTTTGGTACCAATAACTTCAACCTTTCCAACCGCTTTACCCAAAGCTTCTATCTTTCGAACTGCAAGGTGTTCCATGTCTGCCACTTGTTGTGATATATCAACCGACCGTATTGCGTTAAACTTTTCTTTTTCCTGGCACGCCCTGTCAACAACTTCTATCACCAGATCTTGTGACAGCTTGGCATCTTTGGGCAACTCTGCAGCAGCACCCTCGACAATGATTGACATTAACTCCGCACTGCTTTGGTCGGTACTGCCTGCTGCCTTCAGAGCAGCGTTACGCCAGCTCTGCGAGTAATTGCCGTGACTCATAAGCCAACGTGCCGCAGCAATGTAGTTGGATTCAGTAGCATGCATCAGAAGATCTTCTGGGGGTTGTAAGCCGCGGTCCAGGAGCCACTTGAACATTGGGTCTGGATCTGTCCCACTCAAAGTCTCCAGCAAAACTAGTGAAGGATGTTCTGGTTCAAGATTTCCCAGATCTAGGCCATCTTTCCGTAGCCTTTCGGCAAGTTCGACGTCGGCATAGCCCAATATGCTTCGCTTTTGAGTTGGTCCTATTAGACCAAGAGCAGTTTCTCTCAATGGTTTCAGCCGTTCCCAGCAGATTTCGAAGCATTTAGGCACCAGTATAGCCCACGTAAACATTGTGCGTTGGACTTCATTTGGTTTACCTGTTGAAAAAGGAACCAGAAGACTCTCAGGGTCCACCAAAGACAGAACGCTCTGCGATAAACCACCCTTTCCGCTGCTGAATGCGAGCCAAAAGAAGTACGATGAAGGCTGAATCATTTTATTGTCCAAGAGACCATTGGAGCACAAAGAGCAATTCTTGAAACACCACGAGGCCAAATCATAGCAGGCTTCATCGCCCATCCTATGCTGACGGATTTTTTCATCGTGATAATCATAGGAAAGTTTCCACGATTCCTCGATCCTTTGTCGTACAGATGGATCTCTGAATGTATTTTTGATGGCCATTTTGATGAAAGGATCCGTATTGTCATCTTTGAGTGCCTCAAGGAAGAAATGAAGGGCGTCATGCGAGCCACCTTCAAAGAAAAGGTCACCCTCGATTGCGGATTTCAAATCCGGGATAGTTTTGAAGAGAGAAGGGCATTGTAGGCGCTCTTTCTCCGTAGACATGTTGACATAATAGGGTACAAATATTATTCTGAACCGAGTTGAGATACTGTTTCCAAAGGGATGAGGGAAGAAGGAAGGCTTTATAGTGGATTTTACTAAGGTTCTCAACAAATTGTAATTAATGACGATCAAGTCATACCAAATCTGTACAAGATGAATTCACCTCGGAGTGCGTGGGACCTTCTTCGATAGTAACTGTCTGAGAGGTCAATCTGACTACCCTCGAGAAAGTCCACTGTCTCAGAAGCTGTGTGTAAGGTCGTGCTTCTACTTCCTGTATTATCTCGTTTCTCTATCCCGGCCCAGAGTTCTACCATCTAATGAGAATCTCACACTAGAAGAACCTCCCAAGAGGATGACTGTCTCTAGCAGGAACGTCACCTCATGTTTCCTGCTATACAGCCCTCGTATGACTCGCTAAGCTGCATGACATTATGATGGAATTGAATAGTTGGTGACTACAAGGGCAGCTCCTTGTCGAGCCTTTCCCACCCTCTCTCAATTACACTTCATTTTATTGCCGTATGTGTCTTGTTAAGTTGTCCAAGTAGACGATATGCTTTGTTTTGAATGATGAAATGAACTATACATCCAATTTCCCATGAACACCAAGTGCTTTATTCAGCATATAGCACTGGTAAATTTGCCGGTTATTCTGTGTGTGCGTTCTATGTAACCCATAGGCATTGGACGAGGGTTGAAGAAAAGCTGAAGGAGGTATACAGCACTTCCTTCCACTGAAATCATATCAAAGTTTTCCAGGCAAAACCTGGCTTTCCACAATACCAGACCTAATGTCCCATCGTAAATTAGGTCAAGGGCATCCAGAATTGCAGAATGTACCGGGATATGTTCCTCTATAGGTAGGAGCTGCTGCATATCATAGCAAACATAGACTTCCTGTTTCAAGGAAATTACAAGCTGGGTAAAATAGCCCTGCTCGGAGTTTGCGAACGCGCCATCTGAAATTCTATCCCACAAAGCATGGTACAGTTTCCGCCCTAGTGGGCGCCCATGTGCCCAAATAGCACACAGTTCCATAATTGTCGCATATATCTGCTCCGGGGAAAATGATCTTGTTTGGGGAGGTAGGTGAAATTTTCCTTGACACGCTAATATAATGTGTTCATGAAGGGGAGACGCGTGTGCAGAAGATATCTCATCGACTATGATAACTACTCTAATGATTAATAAAGCCTTCAGGTAACTGAGTAGTTTACTCACTGTGCTCCAGACCACTCAAATAAGGACGTAGGTCTAGCGTATTCATTGTGGCCTGAAAAGAAAAACCCATTATTGTATCAATTCAAACTCCTCCTCGAGTAGACGTTTAAAGCTTCTTATGTATTTTCGATCTTAAGAAGCCATTTTGCCAAGGCCCGTCTGAGAGAAGGTTATATTTCTTCCGTAAGTTGATCAGATGCGTGTAAATGAAAGTATCACTGCTCTAAGAGGGATCGGAGCCTTCTGTTGGAATTTTTGACAATAACAGAAACAATAATTTCAAGTGATACTCAAGATATTTCCTTCCATCGGGAGCTCTTGCACTAAAAATCGTGCTCCACTGATTATTTGCCCTTTGTAGTATGTGGAGCCCTTGCCGAGCCTGAGTTACCTGGGGGATGTTTTGGAGATCTATAATGACTTATTTTTTGCCCTTGCGTACCATTTCCATAATATTGAATAACGGTAGCTTAACTACAAGCATGTTCAATCTCAACAACAACTGTCTCCGTAACTTGTATTTCACCACCTAGTACTCTTGCCGTCTCCGAAGTCGTCCTTTCACTGACCACGATTCCATTGCGAGGGGAGGTCCGTGGCACGATTCTCACATTCAAAGTTATTCTAAAGAGGTGAAATTCATAATTCATTCCGTCATTCCCCTACCATTATTAGTAAACGAAGCGATAGGGACACAAAGCCGTACCAGCTGGAATCCAAGCCATGTGAGATCACATCTTTGCAAGAAAATCGGGATGGAGAGAGTCATACTCATATCCTAGAGTGATGATAAGGCGTGGTGGGGTGGTCGATGACACTAGCAATGGTGAGCTTCTTGTAGTAGGCCAGATCACGAGGGGCGTCTCTTTTCATCTCATGTTCATGGCGTTTTGCATGGTCGTAATTGCGGTAGAGGTTCCCCTCCTTCCTGATCTTCTCTCTCAGTGATGCACTCCTAAAGACAGTCTCGATTGCCAATTTAATAACATGTCGCGTATTGTCGTTGCGCAGTATGTCAAGAAGGAAATGAAGTGCCTCGTGTGAACCATGGGGTGTGGAGAAAAGGTATGATTCGATCGTAGAATTCTTCTCCTCCCATCCTAAGCCTTCGAGATTTCTGAGGAGCGAAGGGAGTTGGACTGGTTCCTCGGGATCTGACATGATGAGGAAACAATTAAGGTACAGAAAGAATGCCAAAACAAGCTCCTGTTTGCTACCAAGAGGACGATGAGGGGAGAACCAAGGCTTTATAGTAGATTTGACTGAGGGATCACCTCTCAACAATGACAATCAATGCCCCCTAGGATTTCTCATCCTGAAATTAGACTCTATACTATGCTGGTCCCTCTTCAACCGTAACTGTCTCCGTCAATTCAACTTCACCCCCGATGAATTCCACAGTCCGAGAAGTCGTCCAAACTGCAATGTGTCCCACCGTCGTATTCAGCGACTTCTGTATCGCCCAGTCCAGGATTCTACCGTCAAATGCAAATCGCACTCGAATCCATGTCGGCTCTACCTTCATCAGCCATTGAATCCGCAACCATTGGGCAAGAGTCTTATCACCTGTTATCCAAGCCATTCTCAATACGACGTGTATTATCCAACTCATTGTGTGTAATGATTTTATTTCGAATATGGTATTATTATCTGTGGTTCCATAGCCTGCTATATACTCTAGTCAGAGATTGGAAACCTCAAGAACTCGGTAAGAAGAATCTGTTTTGTTATTCCCGGGAATGATAGGATAAGGTCGGGCCGTTCTGGTAAAGCTATTTGTCCAACTAGGATGGGGAGAGTAGAAAAAGGACCTAAGAAAGGCCAAAATCAAGCGCTAGCATCTTTCGAGCTTGATCATTAAGCGTCTGTTGATACTCCACCAGGATAGGTAGATTTGCATCCTTTGCCATTGATAACATACTCTGGGAAAACAAAAGCGAGTCGTCGGCAAACTGTACTGCACATCCAACTTTCCGGATAGCGTACCACTCTACCAAGTTCACCCTTTCCTCCTGAGCTTCATTACAAGCACCTTGAACAATCTCAATGGCAAGGCTCTCAATCCAATTTGACAGAGGAACTGGAACTTGAAAAGAGATACGTTTCATAGCCATCTGCAATATAAGAATGCTGCCTGCTGTCTGCCGCCTTGCCGCGTCAATTGCACAGCGCCACAGTTCGCGCATATCGGTGCTATGAAACAAGAGCCAGCTTGTTGCCTCAACCCGATCATTTCGAGCTGCAGCAAGAAGTGGTGTGTCTAAAGCATTTTCTGTAAGGGGAAGGCAGTATCCTTGGCATGAGAACCATTCGTAGAGAGCTTTAGGTCTGGAGTGATATAGAGCAATTTCGGTCCAGGCATGTAAAGGGTCAACTTGGAGTACGGATGCCAAGTCAAGCCCGCGAGATAGCATGCGATCTACGAGATTCGATGTAGCAAACCGGCAAATATAGGTGAAATGATGCTGGTGGAGTTTTCCCCAAAGCATCTGGTCCGATAGTTCCTCAAGCCGCGTCCAGCAGATTGAAAATATGCGTTCGTTTGTGACGGCTAGCTCGAAAATTGTCTCTTGGCGATGGGCAGCAACGATAGATGCCGGCTCGAGAATTTGCTCCGGCGTCAGTTTTGACACTAGCTCACAGACAATGTCGATCTGATTCTCATTTAATGCAACGTAGACAAGACTAAGTCCTGTGCTATTAAAGCAACTTGGGTAAATGAGACCATGACGAAGAAGCTTCCTGAAAAAGTCTGGATCATCACGTATAGACTTAGAAACGACATCATGACACCACAGTTCAAATTGTACATTGTGTTGATTGATGACAGCGTGCTTGAAATCGTTGTACAGTCCCCACTGACACAGAAGCACGTCACGCGAATGATAGATGGAAGTTCATCGGACAAGCTCTCCTGGGGATGTTGCGTCATTTCAGTAGAAAGGAGAGAAAGTTTCAAAGTGTTGTGAGTTGGGCAATGAAGGATCGACGGGTGCAGTTGTCCCTGTTTTATAGAACTACTTACTGTAATGGAGGAGGAGGTGCCAGTATAGAGAAGGTGTTGGGAGTGAGAAGACGCCGAGGTCTATTGATTGAACACTCATTTCCCAATCAGCCTCTTTTTCCTATTTTGTACTAGTCTCTTTGGTTTCCTGAGGCCGACCAACTACCCATGGCTACGCAAGGTTCAGACGATGGCACATTAGGGGGGTAACTAGGAGTCGTCTCACCTAATAAATTGTGCTGGAGACGCTTGCCCACCTTCCCGAGCGTCAAGCTGATCAGTGTAGCATACGAGTGAAGGCATTCATCAGATGCATCACTTAGTGTCCAAGGCTACCAGAAGATCCATTCTGAGGTGAAGTAAAAGTAGGTGTAGCTCAGAATAACACTATTTGTGGAGTCAAGACTTCTCTTGGAACATGGACGGACGGTCAACATTGCGGAACAACTCCCGCTGAGCCTGGATAAAGTAGAACACCTATCTGTCAATCCTAGAGCACATCGATCCTTATGAGGTACTCTAGTGCACGGAAGAGCCACCAGTGGGTCCGTTAAACTGATTGTCAAACGTGTCAGTCGATAACTACTCATCCCTGCTGACCGCTTGAGCTGGCAGAATCAATCGGGCACCGAACACGTGATGACAGATACCCCACGTCGTGACGACTTTCCTCCGGTCGGGCAGATATTCGACCCCTCCCAACCTCGCGCGATAACAGTGTCATATATACTGGCGATTTGCTGTAAGATGCAAGCAACTACTTCACCTGCGATGAAACTCGAGCCGATTTCACAAAAGATTAAGCCTATCATCGACTCTATAAGGGATCGAATCGCGGAAGGCCAGACGGACCATGTGGTGGAAAATCCCAGTGGGTGGGCGTATGGAGGGGAGGATTTTTTGGAAGTTGTGGAGTCGTTGAAGGGGGAAATTCAAGCAGAGCTCAAAGAAAATTCATTCCATGTGAATACAGCTTCCCTGTCTATTTTCCCTAGAATGCTGCTAATTCTTTCTAGGTGTTGGCCTGCACCGTGCGGCACTTTTTTAAAGGCGCAAATATCCTGAACCGCTTTTATCCAACGAAACGCCTGTTAATCATCCCAATCAAGGGGGCATCAACTCTCTCCCCTGGCGGTCCGCTTCCTATTGACACCTATTGCTATATCGAGAACCGACCGGCCCTTTCTGGTGATAAGATTGATGTGATTTTCGTTGCATATGAAATACAACCCAAGGATGCATAGCAACTTGCACTTTCCCCACGAGATATTTTTTATGTATTGATAATGGAGCTTGATAACAACAGATTATGGTGATTAGCCCTGCGGGGGAGACTCAAATGTACAACAACTCTAACTAAGTGTCTGGGGCACCAATGGATTAAATTGAGATAAAGGCGACACTGCACCTCCAGTTCTAGACATATCGGGGTTGCTATTGGAGTGGCCAGAAATGTCAAGCGGCGGCTCGGATGTCGTGTCGGGAATTTGTAGAAGGAAAGCCCAATCCCACTCAAAAGGGTCAAAGCCAAATTGTAACTCAGATGACAATGTTGTCTCATCGTTTCCATGGGGCGGGCCCACTTCTGTGAGACTCAAGCTGGCTTCTCGCGCCTCGCTTTGTTCGCGCGTTTCAATTGTAAAAGTCGACGTGAAGTCCAGCTCCGTACGCTTATTTTGGCGCTGTTCAAGGCACTCGGGTTCAAATGAGCGCTTTTGGCCGGATTGCCGGTATCGGTAAGTTGCTTTGCACACCTTAGTCTTGATCTTAAACACGGTGGTAGCACTTACTGCAATTCTCCACATATATGGACAGACAATTGGATACCCAATGAGCCTTTGCCTCTGAAAACGCGGACCATTCTGATTTGCGAATTGATGCGGCCAATAATTGTAGATGTCCATATGTTAACCCGCGGAATGCAGCGAAAACAAAGAAAAGGAAGGCACAGACACCACAGCTTCCGTAAATATACTCGATTGAGTGGTATTTTAAACCATACTGGATCGCTTTCCGAGCCTCTTCGGTGTTCTGTCCAATTTCGTCCAAATACTTACTGACACATCCTGACCCCCTGTTATCTGCATCTTTTGTTTCTTTATTCAGAAACTCGTGACGAGGCTTTTCGCTATGTTTTTCTGCCCAGTCCAAGTAGTCGTTGGCGAAAGAATACCGCGCAAGTCCTGCCCGGAATTTTGCGGTCAAAGTAGAACCGCGCGCTGCTAGCTTGATGTCAACTAGGCGAGGATCCAGGCCCGTCCAATCTTCTCCTTGAGATATTGCATCCCGTTCATTCTTATTCGTGAAGGAGCGTATTTTTTCGGATTGCTTTTTGATTTTTTCCATGAAGTTCTCCACATCTGATTTGATTTTCTCCTCGATAGGAGGCTGACTCTGGCTTGGCGAACCTGATTGCAGAGGTTCAGGGTCTTCTCGGCCATTATCCCGGATATTGATGGCATGTTGGCTGCTTCCATTGTTTGTTGAATCTAGTGTATCTACCTGCTCGGGATGGACTGGAGACAATGAGCGTGAGCCTTCCAGTTCTGCGTGTCCCTGCTGATTGTTGCTATCACTAGACGGTCGAGATCGCAGAACTCGCTGTAGACTGTCAAGCGCAGATTGTAGTTGTTGGCGGTGATGCGAGAGTAAATTCTGAACCTTTATTCTGGGCATCGTTGACGATATGACCGTAGCGGCGTGGATAATCTCATCAACAGGGCCTGTAGTGTCCATGTTGATAGAGTTGATATTATACATCAGTGGGGTGTTCACGTACAAAATATAGGATTGATGCTCCAGAGTCTTGGCATTGGACCGCGATCGAATGCCAAGATCGAGGGGCATCAATGATGATGGTACACGTCAGCGCGTACGCCTCCTGCACGTCGAGTCACGATGTCACATGGCTAGCCATGTTGCTCCCCAATCATCACTCGAGGCTCCCCACTCGGACTGATGCCTGCAACAAATCAGTACGTGACATGGGTTCGTGCCAGTGTGCCGTCGTTCTAGACCATCGTTGGGGGGCTACATGATGCAGAGAATGAGAGGGCGGTGATCTCCAGTGTCACTGCGCTATCAGGTGGGGCTGCGGAGGGACCGTGCCCACAGCTTAGTGTCTCAAGTTGGCCTCTCGTATCAGCCTTGCGCCTGGACCTTTCATGGCCCCTGTGAAAGCGGCAGTGCTGCATTTCACCACGAAGTGCGTTTCCTTTCCAATAGTTTACCGCCTAAATGAGAAAATAAAACAAGTCGCAAATCCAGCCTCCGGCTAATACACGGGAATTCGTAGCCTCTGTCACTAATGCCATTTTTTGAAAGGTTGATATAAAGACGCGGCGATGCTTCCAATCGCTATGCCTCCAGTATATTCCTTTAGGTCCACAACAATTTGAATCCATTTACAAAGCTTTCCGTATCACTCTTGGTAATTTCCCTGAGACATGAGATAGTTACCAAGCCAGTGCTGACTAAAATGAAGTTGCCTATCATGTGCGAAATGTCGGTTACAACCACCATATATGCCTGCGGACATAGGGAAGTTAGAAGAGTACCGCGGCCCTGTCCTCAGAATCATCCCCAACCTTGGCCGGAGGTACCAATGGGAAGCTCCCATAACCGTCGAGATAAATGCATGAGCTGCCGAGGAGCTTCCAATGGCGCCTAGACTGAGGTGAGTGTATCCATGCCAGGTCTATAGACTTCGTTATTGATTCCTACAGCCCGTGTCTTTCTTGCAGTATGAGCAGTGCTCTTTCCCAACTGCGCCAGAGAGGGCCCCATCGCCATCATCAATTTCGGAAGGCAAGGATAGGAAAGTAGCATCGTGGGCCTTGTCATGCTATCAACTCTCCGATTCATACATTCGCTTAGCTACTAGTGTGCCTGATAACCAATGAAACGTAAATCAGCATCTTTGTCCAAACCATAGCAGTCAGCTAGGCCCTGCAATTGGTCTTCTGAAAGTATACCGTCGAGAACACAACCTAGAAATCCCGTTAGCAGTTAAGAATGTAGACATCATGTAACGGATAACCCTTACCAAACTTATTCTCACGGCGCTCCCTCCATTTCCGAATCCGGTCTCTCAACGATTCCGTTGATCCCGAACGCAATTTGATATCATATGCAGGGCGAGTACCGTTGGTATCAATAGCATTAAGCTCTTCGAGCATCTCTGAGGTGCGGTTATAGTGCCCGAGCCAAGCTTTTCGAATCATCGTATCAAGGCTTTGATGACCAGTTCTTATTTTCGGCAGAACCAATGTGCCATAACTGTCAACAGACAACTCAGGCTTGGCTCCATGCTCCATCTGAAAAATAAGGGACCCCATAGCAAACATATCTGTTCCTTCAGATAAAGTTGGCGAGGGACCGTTGACTGGAAGTGGAAGATCCGGGAAAACGGGATTTGGTTGACCAAGAGGGCTAGCGGCACTAAAATCCCCGAGAATTGCACCGTCTTGTTCATCAAAGAGGACATTGTCAATCCGTATATCAGCATGGGCTATGCCGAGGCTGTGGATATGGCAAAGTGCGTCGGTAAGATCACGATACCAGCAAATCCGATGAAGCTGACAGGGAATTCTATCACTAGATAATGAGTGATATCTGCGGAGATAAATTCCCTCAGGTTGGTCAGCATCGATGGCTTCCATAATGTGAGGGTGTGGCCGTCCTTGAAGCACTCGTAGTACAGTTCGTTCGTTTTGTAACAAGTTGGAGTGAAAGAGGGTGTCTGAGGCGTAGTGCCATCGATCACCGTCAGAGGCACTACTCCCAGGTCGTTCAAATACCCAAGAAGTCTTGAGAACTACCTCGTCATCAACGCCATAGACTTGAGCAGAAGCCCCGACTCCCATTGCCTCCAAATCACGTTGAGGATGCAGCCGTATAGTGTATGTGTCGCAGTTCGACGTTGAGGTCGCACCGACCGAATCATTAGCCTCAAGGTCGTCAGGCTTATCAGATTTAGATGAATGATATCTGATGAACGGTGGGAATATACGAGACAACAGGCCAAATGCGCGATAACCAAGATAACGGAAGTATCGAAATGCAACCAGTGCTGCTGAGTGGAATCGCCAGTAGTACGACATCATTCTGGAGGTACCATGAAAAAGAGGTGAAAGAACCAGCGTTTGGAAATTCGAGGCTTCCTTTATATGTATTCTGCCGCATGATGCACAGTCAAGTTGCCTTCTGCTCAGGGGTTTCAAAGCAAGGGCGGGTCACGTGGAATGATGCGCTTGTTAAGATATGACGGAACGCAGCGGTATGTGGAGACCGGAAGCAGGAGATATAGATACTCCGTATTAGTCAGAGAGCCCATCCAAATTGCCAGTTAGGGGCTATATAGCAATTTAGACTTGTTGAGATCCGATTGGTGCGCAGCATGATTTGCTAAGCAGTATTTCCGACTAGATACTCCGTATTGAGTCACGTGCCCTGGGCGATAATGCTTAGGCAACATATTTTGTCGAAACATATGGGGCATAATACCGCTAGAATAGACGAAAAATGCTCCATGGGCAACATTCTTAGTCATACAGGTTGTTTCTTTGTTCCGTCACACGACCTCAGGATACAGTGAGTACATACATGATATGACCAGTATCAATGGCATACATACTCCATACACCAGAAAGATCCTATGGGCCCCACGTGACCATTTGCTATAAAGATGATCTGCTCCTGCGAGGGACTCACGTCGCAAGTCATGGCTATGTTTGTGGGAAAGACAACCTTGAATTTGTGCGCGCAACTCATACAGTACCGGAGAGAAGGCAGACTCGGCCAAAAGGCAGCAAGGTAAGAAGACAGTGTGGCGTTCTGAGAATGAGCTCGAGACTGTACCAGAGATCGGCTACTGCCACCTTCCAAGCAACTAGAGTCCGACTCGCTCATTCGAAGAGTATCGGTTGATCGTGTGTAGGTGGACGAGGTGGTAGTGGTTTCAATTTTTGTGACTCCCAGGATTGTTGAACCATAGATGTTTCCGTAGTCTGTCTGGACATGACGAGTTTGCACCGTATGAAGCAAGGGCATTCCCATTGCTAAATATATTACGAAGGAACGAGCACAGGAATTGATAATCCCCTCCACAAGTCCTGGTTTGTTATTATCCTCCTAAATAATATTGCTTGTTGGTTCTTCGCACGCCCTGCTTCGAGATCGGCATCAGCGGAATATGCAAGAGTGCGGTTGAAATCGAGGGGATATGCTGTAACTAGGGATGTTGAAATTTTGAAATTGAGATTATATTTCGGAAATTTGAAATTTCAGGCCTAAATTATATTTTATATGAAATTTTAGGGGGGTTTAACTCCTGCTTAGTTATATCCGGCGGTGAGCAATTTAGACTAATTAAAGGCCTAGAATCCTAGATTCTGCTATTTTTTCTAGCAACCTAAGAAATCACCTAGCAACAACACTAAAATATATAATTAAATTTAATATTTAGTTTTTCTAGGTATATATCACAACTAAAATGGTATAAAAATCAGATTTTAAATACTCTAGATATATCCTTAACCTTAAAAAAGTCATTTAAAAGCAGCTAGGTAACTTAAAGGTAATAATTTATATACTAAAGTTAACCTTTTATATTTTTTATTACTTTTTTATTTTACTTATATAAGAATTATCTTAGACCCCTAGGGCCACCTGCCTTAAATATTAAAATTCCTATATCTTTAATATAATATATCTTTAGGCTTATATTAAGCAGTATAAAGGAGCTCTAGATATCCTAAATTATCCTAATAGAATAAAGAATTAGGTTTAGAAAAAGCTTAGCTTTATATAGTCTCCTAAAAAACAGCTTAATCATCTTACTACTAATATAATTTATCTAGGAGTAAGACCTTTTTATCTTTTTAAATCCCTAGAATTTTAGTAATTTATTAAGTCTTTAAATCCCTCCTATAAACCACCTACTTATAGTTAAATCACTAATCTACTACTAGAATCATACGCAATAATAAAGAATAAGGTGATGAAAAAGCTATAGGGAATTTAATATTTAAATATTATAGTAAATAAGATATTAAATATCTTATTTTAGTATATTATTATGATAATAGTGACAACTCCTATATACTTATAGTTTTTATATTTTAAGGATATAAAGGATAAGAGTCTAAATGCAGATATAATAACTCTTTAAATTATTAAGAAGCTTTAGGCTCTTCTATAGAAAATCTCTACTTCTAGAGATGGCTCTATTAATTAGAATTAAATTAATTCTATATTAATAGATATTTATAGTATAATAAAGGCTGTCTAGAGAAAGCTTTAAGCTAAACTAGAGCTTTAATATATCTTTATAATCCCTTATAATTTATATAGTTTATAGCTAATCATTAAGGATCTTCTAGATAATATTAAGGTCTCTTTAGTAAAGGAGGTCTTTAAAGCTATAAATAAGATTATTAACTTTTTTTATTAGTCTCTATTTAAATATATAAAGCTATAAACTTATTAGGTTTAATAATATACTAACTAGAGGGCTCTTATTACTTTAGTTATTATATACTAGGGAACTTAATATATACTTCTTAAATCTCTTAAAGATTTATATAAAGCGCTTAAGGATTAGGCGTTAAATATAGATATTAAGACTTTATATTCTTAGAGGATTATTAAGTTAATTTCTTCTTATTTATTTTAGGGATAGTTAAATAAGCTGATTAAGCTTCTTTATCCTCTTTATATAGTATAGAAGGAATTAGAAGCCCAAAACTCTAGTACTATAAAAGTTATATAAAGATAAGTATTTTTAGAGCTTAAGATAAGAGAAGCTGTATCTTATAGCTTATTTAAAGAGGAGATCTTTATATATCTTAATAATTAAGCCTAAAGATTATAGATATAGTATTAACTTATTAATATTTATTAGGTAACTTATTTTTTATATTCTATATAAATCTCTAAGCCCCTTTATAACTATAATTATAATTAAATTAAGAAGATGCTAGAGTCTATTTATAATAAGAAGATTATAGTATAGTAGAAGTTTCTTACCTTTAGATAATAAAATGGCATCTTTTATAATACCTCTTATTAGGATATAAAGAAAAACCCATAATTCTTTTAACTTAAAGTAGTAAGTTAAATAGCTTTAAATTAGAATCTTTATTAATCTCTCTCTCTCTCTCTCTTAGGCTAAATATGCCTCTCTTATCTCTTATTATATGCTATAAATCCTTAATACTGTCGCCAACTCTGTAGCTGCAGAATAAGCTTTTTTAACTTATAAGCTTATAATATATAAAGATATAGAATTATTTTAAGAATAAGAATATAAATATGCTGCTTTTTGTGCAAATTAATCAAAAGTAATTCTATAAGGAAATACAACCTTAAATAATAAATAAGATATTATTAGAGGTAGAGGAGAATAAGATATAGCAGCTTCTGCAGTATAAGCAGGTGCAGGGCTATCTAGATGAGATATTTAAGACTTCTTAGATATCTGGCTCTAAAAGGCCCTATAAATAGGATTAAGAGAATGCTAATAATGCTCAGCATCATAATCAGCGTCCTTATATTAAGGAGAATTAAATGGCTGTTGCCAGGCCAATGGTTTAAATCCTATATCCCTAAGATGGCATTAACGCCAGGCCAATGGTGTAAGGCCGGCACCGACGCCGCCCTACAAGCCATCTGACTAAGCATACCACGCGACTGTTAGTCAATGTTGGGCATTAATTAGGCACCCATTAAGTACCCTACTTAGAGTTAGGATATATACTATCCCCCCTAGATAGAACAGAACCTTAAGCACTTTATCTTATTCTCTTATTAGACCTTTTATAGACTTCTTATATCCCTAAATCTTATTATTACTTAATTATATTAATATCTTATCTATTAATCTTAAGTAGTATAAGGTTATTACTTATAATTTAAAGTACTTCTTCTATATATTAAATTAAAGCAACCTTAATTTAATATAAGAATCCTAGGGCTATAAGGGACCTATATTTAGAAATAATTTAAAATAAATAATATATTAGTAATAAGCTATTACCTTAAGAATATTAAACTAATTATTAAGGATCCTTAACTATTCTTAAGTAACCTCCAGCACTAAGGTGTCTATAACTAATTAATTAAATATTAATATAAATAAATTAATCTATATTATAGAGAGGCCTAAAGTACCTCTTAATACCTTAATAAACTAAATAAGAGAATAGTTAGTTTAAGAACTTTTTAAAGATTTATTTAATAACCTATTAACTCTCTCTAGACTTATAATTAATTAAAAGTATTAAGATACTATACTTTAGCTAGCTCTTATAAATAATAAAGTACTATAATAAATACTATATATCACTAAATAATATTTATTAATAGAGGCTATTAAATATTTAAAGCTTAAATTTTATATAGATAAATCTATAAAGAAGCTTTACCTTTAGAAATATAATCTTTTAACCTATATAAAAGCTAAACTATCCTCCTTTTAAGAAGAAGGGGGTAGAGTATAATATACTAAAGATTAACTTTAAGGTAATATAAAGATAGAATAATTAGGGTGCTATAACTTAGAACTATAGATTTTAACTAGACTATTTAACTTTCTATGCTAATAATATAAGGGAGACTATAATAAAGGGTTAACTACCTCTAGTAAACTCTAAAATCTATAGTAAAAGTAGAATTAAAGCATCATAAATTTCTCTAGTAACTAGAAGAATACTATATAGATGTCTATTATAAGTTAAGTAACCACTAAGGATCCTATCTAAAACTAATTCTTTATATATGTGATATCGCGAGCGAGCAATATCATGAACTCCTATATAGCCATGAGCAGGATCACCTCAGCGGAACGCCAAGGTGCCTGCTCACTAATAATATAAGATCTTCTAACCCTAATAGAGTAGTTATATAGAGTTTTTACTCTATATTAGAGATTAATTAATTCTATAAAGTTCTATTACTACTAGATTACTTAACTTTTAATAAGTTAAGAAGAGATATATAGATACCTTTCCTTTAACCTATAGTAATAATAGAATAGAGATTTTCTAGAGGATTTAGCTTTTAAAATATTATATCTAGTAGTATATTATATTAGGGGTTAGCCTCTATATTAATCCTAATAGACTACTATACTATAGATAATATTTAAGGATTAATAGGATTTAAAAGCTAGATAAAAGGGATAAAAGATCCCCTAAGTAAAGAAAGAAAAATTATTAAGTATCTTTATTAAAGAAATTAAGTAAATAAAAGACCTAATCTTCTACTATAAGTTAATAATAAACCTTATTAATAATATATAGAACCACCTATCACCTAAGGTGTTTAAAATCCTCTTAATAATTATAATTATTAAAGTAAATAGAATAGATGTTTACCCTCTTCTAGGACACCTAGAGTAAATACTTTAAGATAAAAGAGAATAAATAAACTACTTAGTCTAGAAACTAAAGACTACCTATATATAGGTGGCCTAGCTTTAAGATAACCTCTACTAGATGACTATTAGATAGCTAGGCCCCTAAAATGGCCCCTAAGTAGCTACTATTAAAATTAATTATTAAAAGTTAACTAATAATCCTACTAACTAAGGTAGACACCCTTACTAAAAGATCTTAAAACTTAACTAGATCCTTAAATATATAGATAAGTATTAAGATAAGGGCGCCTAAAAATAGCTGTAGTAAGTAGATAAATACTTTTAGGATAAAAAAATCCTATATAGGAAATTTATAATTAATAGAGAAAAGGTTTTAATAATAAAATAGAAGCTTAATAATAAGATATATAAGTAATAGAGATATTTATAGAGCTCTATTAATAATAAGCTCTATACCCTTATTAAGATTATAGTAGAATTTAAGAAATAAATTATTAATAACTATATTAAATATCTTAATAAGAAATATTACTAAGAGGCATATAAGAATCTTATCTAGGGAAAATAACCTATTTAAGTATATATTTATAAACTAGTAGAGGTTATAAACTAGATTAACCCTCTACTAGTAGAAAATATACTTATTTAATAATTTATTATAGGCAGCTAAAAATAACTCTAAGGGTAGTAAATATATAAATCTAATAAACTAATTATCTTAGCTAGAGTTATTATAAAATTTACTCTTTATAAAAAAGGAGCTATTACTATATAATATATTTATAAGTTAATAAAAATATTAGATATTATAGATATTAATACTTTAGGATAATTATATATCC